GATTTTTGACCGAAGTTAAAACTCCAATAATTAAAAATTAGCATTATTGAAAGGAAATTACTATAAATCCAAATAATGCCATACTGGACAACGTGATTATATGGGACATGTACTCACAGAGGCTTACAATTTATAAAAACAAAATGTTTAAGGTATTCAAGATATTATTCTGTAGAATAATAAAATACAAATAAAAACTGTAATAAATAAGACGTTATTTAGAGTTATAGGCAAGCGATTTAATTTCAAATATGCTAATTTTCACCAACTTTTTTTTCCTTATGAATCTAATATAAATAATTAAACATTTCTGGTTTGATTGTGAATGATAGTTGATAGCACAGTAAAATAGCTTTAAAAACAAAATTGAGTTGAAAAGTTTTGAAGATACATCTGCTGTAGGTTCTGTTTAAAAAAAAGTTGAATTTTAAAAAATAAAAAAGTTAGACTCAACTTTTTTTTCATAACTTGAGGTATTCTATCATATGACACCGCCGTGGATCACTTCTTCGTGGGACGCATTGTATACATACGTAATGTGTTTAATTTTATAGTTTTATTAAAAATATTTCAATTACTGGGGTTTTTTTTACATAAAACGGGTGTTTTTATGTCTAAAAACAAAAATAGGTGTGACAATATTTGAAAATGTATTATGTCCTCTCAGCCACCATAATCTGAACATGCCTATGATGTGACTATTGTAACTTTTAAAGCATAACTTTATATTATACTTATTGATTTTTCGTACACCACTGAGCGACGTTCTGAAAGGTTAATAATAAAGAATAAAGATTATAGATTATAACAGAATATAGAAATTACAATTTCCAATGTGTCATCGCATTTGAGACTTAGAAAGCACATCTTATAGACTTCCAAATTAAGCGCTATCCATTTAAAACTGACTTGTGCACAGCAGTTCGTGGTGGAGATATTGAACTATTTTATAAAACAAATATAAAAACGAGTATAAGTGCATGTCGCTCTGCTGTACATTAGCTGTGTCTAGGTCTCTGTAATGGATGTTTAATGATATAAAATCATTGTATTACTAAAAACGATTCTGAGCGGAGACGGGATGTCAGTCAAGGATATTTTATATTGTTATTACTTATTATTAATACGCGGTAACCAATAAGTTTAATTAATATTATTCTTAAATTATTATCAGTGATGCTGAAAAAATATTAAAACACTAATGTAAAATCGGGCTGTTTTAGAACCAAATTACAACAAAATAAGAAAATCGTTACACGAGAAATCTAGTGAATATCCATTGTAAAAATGTCGTCTTCAAAAACACATAAAAATTTACTTTGACTTTCCGGTAGAATTTTTTTTTTTTGATGAAGGCAAACAAACTTATAATAAATCTTTATATAGATTTCAAATCTTATAGATACGAGAAGCAAAATTGTTATGAATTTCTAATTTAAATAATTTTCAAATTTTCATAATTTTTAAGTATTTTGTCAAAGTTTGAAATTCAGACGCCTATAAAAAATTATTGTGGATTTACTCTCAACTTTTATTCAATTTTCGCTAACAACTTAAGAGGAACATATTATATTACATTTTCAAGTTTTTTGAGAGAGCAAAAAATTTTTTATTAAAATTAGTTAAAAAAAAAAATAATATTCGAAAATTGCATATGCCTATAAATAGTTTACCTGAGTCGAAATATTTTGAAAATATTGTGGTGTAAAGAAAATGCGGATATAAACATTCCGTGAAAATGTCATGTAGGTATTTACGATACTTTTTTCGATAGTTAAATAGAAAACCAAAATAGATTTCGTCGATTGATAAAAGGCGTATTACTTGAGTGAACAGTTCCATAATTTTATTCGTAATTTAAGCCAATCATTTTTTTTTTCGTCAATGCGAACAATTAATAATTTTTATTCATTGGTACAAGATTAAGCATATATATCTAAATAAATGTATAAAAGATAAAAATTGGCAGGTAGTAGGTATACTAGTACTTCTTTTTAATTAAAAAAATTTTTTTTTACAATTCTTGTCTCGTCCAATTTTGGTTAGCTGATTTTTTTATGTCAATATGGCTAGATATGCTAGAGGGAGTTCGTTTGACACTATCTCCACTGGATATATGCTTCTGATAAAATAAACCATAAATAAGATAAGATATGACGGAAAAAACGCAGATAAAAAATTTCATGATAATTGTCTTTATTTTTGCACAAATATAATTATGACAAGGAAATGTTTACATGTCGAAACAATAAGTTCTTATGTACTAAAAAATTCTAGTAAACTCGTATTTTGTTTACTATATTATATTATGGTATAATGTACATACATATGATTAACTAATAAATCAAGTTGGGTACATATAATATGTAAATAATTAAAATATAATTTACATGTAATTATATTATATATGTATGAATTAAATAAATTTTTAAACCATTATTATGTAGTATTCTATTTACAATTAATGATATACAATTAAACTGTAAATCACAAACATAAAAATTAAGTATCTAGTTAACTAAAAAAAAAATAGTAATAATATAAATATTTTTCACACACCCTCTTGCCACATTTAGGAGTGCGATTTGAATTATCACAATGAAACTCAATTAAATAATCAAAGTTTCACGTATATAATTTATAAATATTTCAATAAATTATGTACAAATAAGTGTGTAATGCAGGGGGTTTACTTTTAGAGGAAATCATAAATTATAATAGTTAAATGCTTTATACGTTAAAAATAGATACCTATTTACAATTAATAAAAATGATAATAAAAGTGTATAGTTTTGTATATAATTATTTTTTTTTTTAAATTTTAGTTGTATAGTTGTAAAAGTGAATACTATAATAAACCAATGTTTAAATTTTATTGAATTTGTTTAAATTGAAATAAATGTAGTACGTTTAAAATTTCACACAAAAATTGTACAATAAGAGACTATAATAATAATGTTTATATGACTGAAAATGGTGGTCCGCTTGCTAAGTGGAAATTACTAAGACAATGATTGATAAATAAAATTCAATTTTCCTAGTGCCAAAGTTATTTTCATTGCTAGTGATTGTGGACATTTTTAAAAATAATTTTATATCTTAAGTACTAATATTATCATATTGTATATTATACGTATATATTTTGTATTCATATATCTACGTATATTATGTATGTTATACATATAAGATGAACATATATACACACATTTACATTCAATAATACATTCATTTTTTTTATATATAGTACAATAAATCACGGTTATTTTATACAAGTCGTAAAAATTACAATTTTATTTTCGGACTAGTAAATTTAGGAACATTCATCAATGTATTAATAATATGTAATAAATGTGTGTATAAATATAGAGCATACAAACAAACACTCGTAATATGTACACAAACAATGGGCGATAATAGCATACTGTCATCAGTACAGCCGTACAGATTTTAACGTAAGTATAGGTAAGTCATACAATTTAGGTATTTTCAATCAAACCCATTTACCAATATCATCATACCTAAACAATTGTGCTAAAATATGATTTTCTACTTTTTTAAAAATTTTTTAAAATTTAAATTTGTACACTTGGATTAAAATGAAAAGTTGTCTTTATTAATTCAAAATTTCATTTCATTAATTATTTGATCTATAATTCACTGATTAAAAAAAAAAAATGTTAAGTTATTTTATTTCATATCATAATGACATATTACGAGTACCTATGTAATTAGTATAAATGAACATGTCTGTTTGTTTTATTTTATACTTGAGGTTACTGTGAATTAAATAATAATTTACAGGCTGTACATAACTCAACTCACATATTATTAAAAAGCACTATATTGTAACAACATAATTTGATACCAGTCCAAGAAATGATCGACTGGCAATCATTATCAAAATCAAAATAGTAATACTTAAAATCTAGCAAAAACTGCACCATGATTTGGTATTTGATGTACCCAGAGATATGCATGATACATTTTCCATACAATAATGCTTTTTAAAACATAAATAAATATTAATAGTAAAACACACAACACTAATACTAGTATTAATATTAATAAATTAATTAAAATTAACCTAGTATTATTGTTTGTCACTAAAAATGAACTAATCTACACTTTTTATTTAATTTATAGGTAAATCACTTATATTCAGTAATGGTTCAAAAAAAAAAACATCATATACTTAAATTCAAAAAAATCATTACAGTAGTAATACATTATTATGTGTAACAGAGTTATTACTGGTAGTGAAAAAAGGTATCACCAATAAATTGTTATTCAAATAAACATGGATAAATAGTTATAGACTAACTACAAAAAAAAAAAAAAAAATGGGACAAATGATTCGCCCAAAAGGAAAGCACAGAAATGATAACTATGATCACTAACAGTCCTAAACAATACGTAGGATATACAAATAATAAACAATGATCCTAACACATACTAATAATAAACAATGATACTAACATAAAACAATAAAAAGACATTTCAATGATTTGATCGTCATAATCAAAAAAATAATGGATACTGGTAGATAAATACATCGGTACATATTATAATATAAGTAGATGAAACTTAGTGTTTTTGTTTCTAACGATAATGATTAAATTGTTACTGTTAAAATAGTTAAAACGGCTTATTCACTATTTTGAAAGGCGTATGTTTATCAAAATTAATTATTGGCCTGCAATGTCACGGTCGATTTTTCCGTACTATTATTATGATAAGAATGGTCCAAGTCACGGATACCACATGAAATATTAAACGGCATACAATGATAATTTAATTTTAATTTAATTAGATTAAAGTCGAATAAAATATTCTTATATTAAACACTAAACAGGGACGTCAGGGAAATGTTTCAATAAAATGTAATTATTTTATAGCGGTTGAAATTTAAAAAAATTACTCCAACAGAAATGAGACAAAAATATATTTTTTTTTAATTCTGTCAGAAAGTTTTTTGTTTTCATGTTTATGTTTTAAAATAGTGTTAACAAAATAATTTTTTGAATCAATTCTAAAATAATAAATAATTTAAATGTTAAAAACAAAATATTTTGTGAACATTAGCTCAAGCGCGTTTTTAACATGTAAAAAACCCTTTCTGACAAAATTATTATATTATTTTCAATACTTTCGTTTCATTTCTGTATTGAGTTGCACTTTACAAAGGCAATGTGATCCACAGACAGCCGCCCTGTGATCAATTTCAAACGTGTCACTCAAGTGAGTCTTATAACATTATCATAACGTATTGACGTCAAGTCATTGAAAATTAAAGTTTATAATATGATACACTAACTAGTAAAATAATAATAACATAAAAGTAATAATAATAATAATAGTAAAAATAATGATGATAGTCATAATGATAATATTAATAATAGTAGGCAATAATAATAATAATGTACAGTGCGATTTGAGTTTTATCATCGGTTAAAACGCAAATACTCGAGTAAATGTTATGTCGCTAGACCTTCGGTGCGGTTCTGGGAGATATGATTTGTGTGCGCTATCGGCGACGATTGCGGCGATTGGGGTGCGCAGTTGTTGAGCTGATGGTCTTCGGCGGACTTGATGTTGACGGCGGTCTGCCGGTCGTAGTGCAGGTCCCAAAGCGGCGGTGTCCTAATGTGATGGGACGGTGGCGACGACGACGACGACATGACGTGGTTCTGCTTGTCGGTGGCGATGCTCGGCTCCTGTTTCATCATGTCACCCGGGAAGGTGACGCCGCCGCCGAAGTTGCCGAACCCGCTCAGAATGCGATTGTTGACGTTGCTGTTAACGTTCTGGATAACCGATATCTCGTTGATCTGAAGGGTAAAAAACACGATCAATAACTTAATATTATGATCGATGGTATGGCAATATTGCTATTGTTGCTGCTATATATTATTATCGTGTTTGTTATTATTTATTGACTCTGCGGATCGGAACGAAATACAGACGATACCTGAATAATGGATGCGTTTTAATTTCAAAAATATGGACAGAATGATACCGAAATACCAGAAAACAATTAACTGTTGTTAGATAAAAAAGCGCATAGGAAATTAATATGTGACAATAAACTGTAAAAATCGCACGTGTGATTTATAATAAAAATATGTACCATGACCAAAATATATAGCAAATGACGAAATCAATAATTCAGAGACAAAAATATTATATTTAACAACACAAGTCCTTCTTGGTTCATATCCATATAGTTTAGTAACCTCTTAATAACTTAAAAATATTTAGTGATATTGAAACACGATTAACAATAAAAAAAAATACCAAAAAGAGAAAAGTGTAATCACCTTTTGTTGATGAATTCCATTTAAAAACGGACCTGGCTGCAGAAACGGATGATAGTAAATTTCTGGTCTCCGTTGGAGGAAATCTGTTTCTTTGACGGTATTGGCGATCTGCAACGGCGGAAGCTCTAACGACATTCTCCGCCCTCTCCTGGAAGTTCCATTCGTCCACATATGCGTTCCCATGTGCACCTGTACATCATCAAAACGAACAATGACATTAATAACCATACACACACTGATATTGTCTTAATACGTTAAATATATCTCGTCTGAGAGCCGTCCTGACGATTTGTGAGGATCGGGGCAGAGTAAAACTGAGGGGCCTAAAATGCCATTATCGTCACGTGTCCATTTACAATAGGGCAAGGGCTCAAATATAGTACCTTGTAAATACAACAGTATGAATGAGTAAATAAACTACATAACACATAATTTACATTTTATTTAAACTTAATATAGGTAATTATAATTATATTGATATAATAAGTCGACAAATAAAGTATTTTTTTCTATAAATTTTTTTGTTTTAAGAAAGAGGGTAAGTGGATGTCGCTGTGCAGTACATTATTTGTCCAGAAGGTCGCTGTAATGGAAAATATTAAATTCAATTTTAATTCAATTCATTTTAATTGAATTCAATTATATATGATATAATTATACAAGAAGAACGATTCTGAGAGGAGACGATATGTCAGTCAATGATATTTTATATTATTATTACTTATTATTGATACTGTAGCCGGTAAGTTGAATTAATATTATTCATAAAATGTTTTACGTATTTTGTCAAAATTCGTAATTCAAACGCTCGAAAAAATATTGTGAATTTACTACGCTCAACTAATAATAACTTTTCAATTAACAACAATTTACGTCTTACGAAGAAAATTGTATTACATTTTCAAGTTTTTCGAACGAGCTACAATTTTTTTATTGAAATTAATAGAAAAAAATCAAATGATAGTCAAAAATTTCATATGCCTATAAATAGTTGAACATGAGTCAAAATATTTTGAAAATTGTATGGAGTACAGAAAATGCTAACACAAACATTCAGTGAAAATGTCATGTATATATGTAATTTTTTAAAAGTTACATTAAAAATCAAAATCGATTTTTTTGAAAACTAGTTTTGCTAAATAATTCCCGTTTTTCCTGTCGCTTTTGAAAACTACTATGAATTTTAAATTTTGACCTCCGGAATTCATCAACTAGATTCACTTTCCTACCAGAAAAGTTCCTGTTGAAGAAAGTGAAGCAATTGTATTGCCCCAAAATCGTGATGACAGACACAAAAATAAAAAAACACTCATCATTGTACATTCATTGCTCCTCTAAGAATCTAAAATTGATTTTGAATAATTTGAATATTATATTTTATATTTTAGTTGCTACCTTAATTATTATAATTATTCACTAATCTACTACCCGATACCTATTTAGAATAAGTTATATAAGTTTTAGGTTATACGGTGTATTATATCAACTAAAATGACTTAACAAAAAAAACTTTCACACCCCCTTAATAGGTCAAATTTTGATTAATTTATTTTTATTTGAAAGATGAGAACCTTTTTTAGATCGGGTCAAAGCTCGAATTTTAATTTTACTTATATAGGGCTAGAAAAGTAAGTTTGAAAAATAACAAATATTATACATTATTCAAATGCATAATTTAACTTCTATAATTTTAATTTTGTAAATCGGGCTTTGATCCAACTCTCGAAATGTTACAAGGCGAAATTGTATTTCCTGTAAGACACGTTTTTGTACTAAAAAAGTATCGGCTCCGAGGCCTTTGATCATTAATCCGTTAAAAATTTGATTAAAAAAAAAATTTTTATCGCTCATCAACTTGACTTTTTATTGTACCTATAATAGTAGGACTTGTCCAACTGTGGTGAGAGCTCGGGGCCCGGAGCGGGGGCCCCGATTCCCCTGCCCTATGGACGGCTCTAGACTGAGACTCTAAAGTAAACAACCGTAGGATAAACTTACTTTGAGGTTGCCTTTGGTTGTGAAGGCCTTCATGCACACCGTGCATCGAAAAGGCTTGTCACCCGTGTGGGTCCTCATGTGAATTTGTAGTGCAGATGATGATGAGAAGTTCTTGTTGCACACGTTACACAAATGTTTGGCCGAACCTTCAAACGCACAGGCAAAAAAATAATTTTAGTAAATTGCATTGTACACAGGAATTAATGGAGGTATCCGGTATCGGTCATAGATAGGTATAGAGTGTCATTAGATTTAAATGGAGTAAAAAATGTATCTGTACCAAAAGAGCAAAAACGACGACGCTATCAAGACGGACTTCAGACCTATATTTACATTGGTCGACATACACGAGTCGTTAAAACATTGATAGTTGCTATAAATTATATTATTTGCATTTTGACCATTTGTCAGTGTTTTGTATTATTGTAATTGGCTTAACTGTGTATGTTGACGTGTTATTTCCAGTATAAAATAATACAATAATTGATGCAATATCAATAGTATAATGAGCACCCATTGACAATATTTCAATTTAAAACACCCCTGTGTGTTAACTACTGGCGAGTAACTGGATGTCATATTAAATTTGTTAACCCCAACGGGTACTAGAACTACAACCTTTAAACTTTTGGAGATGATATTATTGTTTATTACTAATATTATTTACTACTAGCTTACTTTGTTGTCTTTTGGCCGAAGGCAATCCGGCTTCAGGATCAGCCAATGAGCGTTTTGGCGACGACGACGAAGAAGAACACAGACCTCCCTCGGTTGTTGCAGGCGGTTTTCTGGAACCGGAGCCCGGAGCGTTGTATTGCTGCGGCTGGCCGACGGTGGGCACGGACAGCGTGACCACCGGTTGGATCGAGGATTTAGCCGACAGTGGTTGCGACGGAGCCTGTTGTTGCTGTTGTTGTTGGGCCGGTGGTGGGGACAAGTCGGCCGCTGACTGGACAGCGGTACTGGTTGACGAAGACCCGGTGCACGTGGATGCGTTTGCTGATACTACGGTAGCGGTAGCGGTACCGGTCACCGCAGGCATCATACCATTTGGAGGCTGTTGCAATACGACCTGTTGCGATGGTTGTGGTGGTAGAGGCAGGGGTGGTGGTGGTGGCGGTGGTAGAGATCGAGACCCTACTCCGCCGGTTGCTGTTCCCGTGACTGCGGCCACGACTGTTGCGACGTTTTGTGTGGCTGCATTTATAAGTGCCATCTGCTGTTGTATCTGTTGCTGATGGTGCTGCTGGTGATGCAGGTGATGCTGGGCTGCTTCACGGCTCTCAGAGCTCGCGTTGCTGGCTGTGTCATCGTGACCACAGCTAGTCGAGTTGTTGCCGTCGAACATGTTGTTCGACGAGCTGCCTCCGCCAGCGCCCGTCGACGACATGTCTCGAGTCTTATGCGTTAGCATGTGCTGTTTCATATTACCCTGCAACACGTGCAGAATACATACTGAAAGTCTGTGGTGTCATAACATTGATAATTATAACAATAACACCGTGATTAAGTCGTCGTGTCATCGTTGGGATGGTGGATGTGGGGGTGGTGATGAAAGCACTATTAAGGGTAGGAGGAGGTGATAGTGTTCTGAGCTGGAGGACAACATAGGGGTGGTGTACCATGACCAGAGCGATGACCAAATCGAGTGTTTAAGTAGTAACGAAGAAAAAAAAATATTATATAACATGGTCACGTTCCTCTCTTACTATCGTCCCATATGGCCACACGTTCCTTCGGACATACTTAATGATATAATACACTTAGGGATGAGAGGCATTCTATATACGGTGTGGTGGACGTATTTCAGATTTGAGAAAATCAATTTCCACACCTTCGAGTATCATTAACGCATAAAACCCCACGACAAAGTGAAGGTATTTTCATAACGAACACTAGCACCCAATCCGACCGAATATTTGCAATAATAATAGAGTCGTCTCGTAAGCACACCTCCCTAATCTCCATGAAAGCTCGTGTTTAACGAGTTTCAACCTAATGCGTGCATTTACCTATCTAATAACCACCGACAGTTCACGTCCAAGGAAGAGTGTTTGAAACAGTAATATTAATAAAAATTGACAAATTTTTGTCGATAGGTGATGTCATATTGCGTATGAAAAACGACAACTACTTCGTTGGTTGTGATAGTTTTTTGCCTGACATTTCGTGGTGTATGCCATCTAAAGTACACGCTGTCCGACGTGTAGATTGTGTGGTATGTTCGTGCGGCGAGTTGATTCTATTATTAATTTTTTTATGTTGCGCTTAAAAATATGTACAGCACCGAATTGTTTGTACTCCGTGGTCAGTGTACGACTGTATATTTTATTATTTCTCACAGTTACCGTTTCGCTTGCGTTAATTTTAAAGAAGAAGTATACGATTATGAAGGCATGCAGGAATGTTTACCGAAAACTTTAAGACTCCTCGACACCTCCATCTCAACGTATAGTTTTACCGCTCTCGTCTACGTGTATTACCTACACATATTTTGAACGCAATTTCGGTCGAGTATGCGTCTCTATTTGTACGTAAGCACTTCGAGGGGCGCCGCAGACGTCATGCGGTTTCGGTTTTCGAGCAGATAATATATAATACAATTATTAGCCCAACGCATTCTTACCGCAATAATTCTCCCGTGATATATAATGTTCGCAGGGGATGGGAGTGAGATAATATACTGTAGACAATCCACGAACAAATATTTTGATGACGCCCAGCATTAAAATGCATGTTAAAAGCATTAAAATAGTTTTAATAAACATATTTGGTTAATTTCAACTATACACGAAGAAAATTGGTAATTCAGGGAGAGAAAGTCGAGATCTAGATTAATTCTGCACCCATTGCTGCGCATGCGATCATATATAGTAACAATATAATTGTCGTCGCGGGATATGAATATGGAAAACGTATAATATCATAAATAACATACACACTTGAAAATATTTATATAAAATAATACGGTCAAAGGTAAACAGCGTGAATCCGGCCAAAAAATCCAATCACGCATACAAACCGTGACACATTTTATTGTTTTCAATTTAAAAAAAAATTCCATTTCCGTGTATGATGATGATGATGTATAATAAGTTGACTAAAAACCGTCACTTCGCCGTCGGCAATATCAAGTGGAAATAATTTCGAATACAAACATAATAATAATATTCAGGTACACATGCACACACACACACACACACACACACATATACACTCACAGTGCAGTGAAATGGAAGTGGTACACCTCTGCAGTTCGTAGAGTACGTTACTACTAAATGAGCATCCCAGCGAAACATATTAAAAAAATATAGGTATCCGAGTGAGGAAAAAAACAAAGAGAAAATTAGTAATAAAAAAGAACTACATTATTTTACACGAGAAACCGTATAGAATAGAAAGACAAAAAAAAAAACAAAACAAAACAAATTGCACTACGAAACATAAATGACTGTGGAAATTAATCCACGTCACTGCCGTTGAATTTTACTGTACGTTTCTGCGAATGAAAAAAAACAAAAAACGCGGTGAATCGTGAAACAGATAATAACAATATGCTATACAAGACGTATAATGTGTGATTTGAAAAATGACGGATGTATGTGACGGATTTGTGTGGAAACGTTTTCGATTCGGTGCCTTAGACAGACGATGATTTCGGCGACTTCGGTTCGCTATTAAAAACCGTTTCGATCGGAGCATAACAATATGTTATGGATTCGACGACCGTTCTATGTAGAAACGCACCGATATCTTAGTGTACGAAACGAACAGTTCGATTTATGTTACGTAGGGTCGTAGTACTTAAGCTACACAGGTCATATATACAGGCGACAATATTATTAAGGTACACTGTTAAAAAATATTTTTATTGCCTTCTTTAAAAAAAAAATGTTAATATAATAAATTTAATATTTACATAAATGTTCAAAAGATAACAATAGGTATTTACGGGTTGTTTTCAAAAAACTAGTAGCATTATTTAGTATAGTGATAATGTAGATAATATACGTTAAATATTAATATAGGCGCATTTATATAAAACTTGTACCTCGCGATTTTAAATTTAAAAACTCAGATTTTTATATATTATGTGAGACAGCCAAAACAATAAATAAATAAGTAATGAGGTGATAATAGAATAATTTGTGCACAAAAAATGCCACAGGTTTAAAAAAATTGCAACTCTTACGACAATGCCGATCACCCCTTAAATACGTCACCATATAATGTATATGTATAATACAATAATATGTACATGCAAGAATAGATCCTACTCAGTAAATAGCCTAATTGTAATTACATATCATTAATAACGCGCAAGGGAGAAAAACAAAATTTTAAAAAATGTATTCTAATTCATAGATAGGTAGGTGTAATGTTTTATTTTTTTACAGAATTTTAATTATTTTAAAATATCATGACTCGATAATATTATCTATGAATATTTGATGGTAATTAAATTAACGAAAGCTTACGATTATGGGTTGAGGAATAATACTATTTTGAGTTATTAGTAGGTATATAAAATTTTATACGTAGGTATAAGGTACTCGTAATAAGTTAAGTATCGAATTTGAAATTATTTAAAACTGTATGATTTTTATGATTTCATTCAATTAATTTTTATGACGACATAATTTTATTTTTAATATTAGATTAAATAATATTGTAATCGCATGTGAGCTTCTACTAAAACTTCACTGAAATGAAGCGTACTAAGATTTACGAACAAAAGTTACAATTATAGCCATATATTATAATATGTCTTAGAACTAATTTCACAATAATTCACCTTGCAGTTGCCAAAACTAATTACCTAATTTTACGAAACTCGATTTAAAACTGTAATTTTTTTTTTCAATTGTATGGTTTCCACATATTACAATTACTTATGTAAAATAAAACAAACTAGCATATTATTAATTTATTAGTAACGATTGCATAATTAGTTTGGAAATAAAATACAATTATACAAGGGAATTATGTAATGTGGGAGTAAAGTAAAAGATATTAAAAATAAGTTTGAAACAATGAAATATGATGATTCGCGTTTCGTTTAAATTTATGTGCGATGCCGTCAAATAAATGAAATCGTTTGTACCGATTAGATAACAGGTAGCAGTGGACTATTGTTTTTGCTGATTTTTTATTTACATACATTTGGTATTTGAATATTGAAAGAGAATATTATTCGTTTTCAAATACGAGTAGCAAGTCTTTTTTTCCGGTTTGTCGATGTATTTATTTTTAAACAAGTAATAATAAGGTTTTGTATTGTACGGTTAAATTATTTGTGAGCGTTAGAGAACAATTCGAAAAATACAATATAAATAGAAATGCATTACAAAAAAAAAAATCGCGATGAAAACCGCCAAGAGAAATTTAAATAATGTTGAAATGTCCATAAAGGATCACATCTGGCGACTATTCCTCAAAGCGGTAATATGCAGTTGCACGTATTATTATAGAAAAATAATGTGTAACAAATATTTATATTTTTTTAAATTGTAAATTAGTCATAGATATTATATAATTATGATGGTAATAATGTCTGATCCGAGTTGGATGGATTGTGTTATTGAGGCTGTCTTACAATAATTTATTAAATCAGCTATACATATAATACTATGTTATATAGTACGTATGCAACCGAATGTAAAAAATTATATATTTCGTTATGTTCAACAATACACAGGAAGAATCAAACTCTCAAAGTCGCAACAGTGAGATAAAAAACAAAATCGTTACCTAATTATTCTACTCGTTTTCGGATGGACAACAACAAACATACATGTCAAAATAAAAGTCGCATTATAATATGTATAAAATATGAACGTCCTAGTTGAAAAAATTATTTAGCGCACACAATACTGTTGACGTTGGAACGCGTGTATTTATATTCCATTATACATAACTATGGGTAGGTAGGTAAAAGTAAAAGTGTAGAATTTGTTATTTTTTTTATTTTCTGTTCGTTTTTATTATATTTGTATTTAGATCAATATCGTTCCTTTGCCCGTAAAAAGCAACAGGTTTTTTCCCACTATTTGTTAAGATGGATCGCGGAATTAATCCATTATTCAACCTCTAGCCAAACAACAGCGGGGAAAATAAGAAAATAGTGCGAGAGCGGCTCTCTCGAATCCACGACGATGTAACCTGTCACAGCAGCGAAGCGTATAGGTATACTAGCACCACTTGGGTGTATCGAGATCCAACCAATAAACGTAATATTATATTAATATTATTATTATTATTATCCATCGTCGTGGTGCCAGAACGGTTGATTTTGTTGAATCAACCATAGCAACCATGGGAAATAAAAAATTTGTTGTGTTTGTTGATATTGAACATTTATTTGTAGCTGTTACCCATCGTGAAAAAGACGATACCTAATAAATAATAATAATATTTGTTGTATGATATTACGATTGTTGGTCGGCATCTCGATACACCCAAGTGTTGGTAGTATACGCTTTATTTATTTTTTATTAGGTATTACGTATTCAATAAACAATACTATATGTGATATTTGTACCTCAATAGTAATATTTCAGAAACGAAACCTAACCTTTTAACAAAATATAACGGAACTGAAATAATGTTTCTAACTGGATGGAACTTTTTTTTAATGTTTCGTATTTTTTTCACCAAATTATTTTATTGAACACTTAGCCGAAAAAAAGGTAGCATATAACTTATTAATAGTTGAAGGGAATCGAATTTTCTTTTACTTATAATGCCAAGTATCAATATGGTATTTTAAACAATTATTCTTATGCGACGAGTCAGAGAACAATACGTCAATATATTTTAATAATAGGACATCAAAAAATGGGTAGCTACTGATTTTAATTTTGAAATAATATAACCAAGTACGTAATAATTGTATTGTATATACTTGTATCTCATATTATAAACAATAAAATGCGTATCCGTTGTTCATTCTAACAATAAATTGTACTGTCATTTTTGTTGTCAGTATGAAAAAGAGGTAGATCGTACGTTTTTTTTGAATGAGAAGATGCAAATAACTGTCGAATGACGAAAAATGTTCTTTTGTCGGAATGAAAAAATTAAACGGTTCCAGTCCTCATTGGAATATAATATAGTATTAAACACGAACAGGAAAACGATCTTTTTACGAGTATTGTATGCACGCGAACAATACTTTCCAAGCAGTGAACAACCTCATCTCCTAAGGCTTTGATTGATTTTTCAAAGAACACAATACAATTTAGCACCGATCGCTCGAGAATATTTTTTCGTTCAATTCTGCTAAGAACTGTTGATTTCGACAGAATAGGGGAAAGGTTTTAGGTGGGATGGGGAACCAGGGCACAACGAGGCATGTACATTTTTTTAAGCGCACCATAATTGCGTATACTTCATATTTATATCAGATATACCTACATAATTATTTATTAATAATTATTACATATTATTATAACTTGAAGTGTATCTTATTATTATAGCCATGTACCCATTCAAACATGCAGGGCCCGATTGGCCATTAGGCACCAAGAGTAAACACAGAGCCTATACGACTTAAAAGCATAAATTATGCTGTTTAAAATATGGGTAATTTCGTATTTTTCACATTTTACTGTCAAAGTGTTTATTTTTATGAAAATGTCTCAACATTTTGGGCCCCAGTCAGAGTGCTTATATATAGTACCGCCTATAATCTACAAAATGCTCGAATCTGGTCCTGATCTTTGGGTTTGAGTTGGGATTTCAACATTTACGAGTGTTATGAGTTATATTATCGATTAATAATATGATTCAGTGTCGATCGTACCTTTGTCGAAAATCCTCGGTCGCACACGGAACATTTGAAAGGCCGCTCTTTGGTATGACTCCTGTAGTGGATCTCGAGAGCAGAGTGGCACGCGAACGTTTTGAAACAGATGTTGCACGTGGTGTTTCCTCGAGCAGCTAAAACATACACATCGGAAATAATTATTTTGCATAATTTTTGTTGCGCACATGGGATAGTAGGTAACAACCCCGTCACACAAATATTAAAAATAATAATAAAATCTGAGCACCCGGACCAACAAGCCCTCCGCCGACAACGAAGACGTGCGCCGGATAAGCACCCTGCAGCATGTCACGGAAGGGAGGAGGACACAAATCAAAATATTAATAATAATAATAATTATTATTATTATTATCATTACTTTCGTGCCAGATGAATATCGCGAGTTTGCATATTTTGGTGGAACGAAAACCGTACATGTTTATATAATAATACCAACAACATTCTCCCTTGAGTTATAATGTTTTAGATTTTTTTTTTCTGAAATGTGATTTTTCTAAAATATATTATACTGTTTTATGTGCAAGCAAATGTTTCAAATATTCGTTTCATCTCGTTTTCAGTATAAAAATAACCCGCGTCTCACAAGTCACGACATTCGTTTATTTATATTTTATATACCATTTTAGATCTCGTATACAGAGCGAGGGGGCGGTTTTACAATGAAGTGTACTCTATTTTTCTTTCGGTTAACACTTTTTGGGGCAATAAAAGTTTCAAATTTTTCACGTATTCCACTAAATCAACCAAATTGAACACAGATGGTACTACTTTACAAACGTCATTTTCGGGAAATCTCTCAGTAAAATACCGACTGCATTCGGCTGACTGCGAATAAACGGCAGGACGTGTATAGAAAAACAGAAAAACCCGTTCTCGACGATATCTTGTCCGTTTTGGCTAAACCAAGTTTGCGCCACAGCAGAATGGTTTTCGAGTGCTAATTAGTATGATTTATCATATTGATATCCGTTTGAAAATATAATATCACACTAGCTTTTAAACGTCAAGGTGAGCAAACCGAATGCATATATTATTATAATATACATAGGTAGCTATTAAACCTACACTGCTTATGATGCCTTATCGCAGATACATTTTATTTTAGTAACATTCAGTTGAAACAATTAATATACTTAATATATTATATTATAAAAGATTGAAACAAAATGTTTAAGCGAATAAAATAATTATTTGAAATAAAACCAGTGAATCACATTTTTGGTCGTTATATATTACATTATACAGAGTGGGTATACCTATACACGTATTGTACATATAAATATATTCGCAGAATACCATCTTCGTATTTTAATTAAATTGTTTATTATTTATTAATTTATTATCATGTTAAGTGCGTAAGAATGAAAAAAAAATTCGAAAAAAGAGACCAGTTTTATATTATTGACATATATTATAATTAAATAAGCGATAAATTACAATAATGTATGGTATTCATTAATTCGGTTTAAAAGTCGGCGACATTATGTTATTAGTAAGGTACTTATTTCCCACCGAATAATAGTAAATTATTGTTCAACAATCTTCGACTTGAAAGAAAAAATATATTTTATCATAATTCATATTTATAGATTCTCGGGCAAAGCAGTATTGCCTAACTCAGTCGCAGATTTCGGAATTTGATAACTATAGGTACATATTTCATAAATAACTATTGATATCAAAGGCCGTTTCTGCGTCATATTTTGATCGTGAAGCACAACAAATGACCGAATTATCGGTACTTAATCACAAAACTAAACTTCAGAGTATTAAAAAGTTTAGTGGCGTAATGTATGTTTATTTGTTTTGAGATCTCTATTTGCACGGCCAATATTTATTAAAACAATAATAATATAATACTAACATAAAACCATTTGCGGTGTGTTAAAAATGTACATCTAACCAACAGATGTATTCAACAACGCTACATGAGTATGAAAATAATAATATTATCGAACCACATGGAGTTCTGTCGAAGCAAATTTTAATATTATGTAGACAATAATCTCATCAAATCGAAAGATGTTATAAAATTAAGTTTGCTACAATGTTTGTTTTTTATTGACACCAAATTTTACCGTTTATTAATGGCTATATAGAGTTCCAAACATGCAAATCCACGTTAATTTATAACCGACAGCGACGATTTCTAAATAATAGCGGACGAACAAAATTCTCCCTCATGTCGGCAAGCAAAATAATTATAATTTATGTTTTTAATTAAAAACAAAAAAATATGTATATGTAAATACCGATAATACATCATTCGGCGTGTAAAGGCATAATGAAAATAATAGTAACATTATATTACAGCGTTTTAAAAAAAGACATGTGACGCACATGTGGTCGGTGCTTATATACGATAATAGCACGATAAATAATGGCAACGGCGTTTATAATTACTTCGATTCTCCACAAAAACGATAAAATACAACGTCCTATGGAAGAACGAACAAACGAAACAAAGGAATGATATTACGATTTATCAGTTGGGTGCATTGAGAATAATTTCCATCATGTTATTATCATCGATAAAATATTATGCGGAGTGTGTATCGAGTGTACCGTGAAATGGATATTAATCGAGTAGAAAAAAAAATACAATTAGATACAAGAAAAAAAAATGGTTTTCCAACGAAATCTCGGAATACCTACCATTTGCGTTTACAAAAATAAAAAAATTGAGATGTATCGGCCCACGGGAGAGAAGAGTATAATAGGCATCTCATCTCGTCACCGTGTACAATAAAAACTTTAACTCGTTTTCATGAATAATTTACAGTTTATTATTGTTAGTGGTAATATTTCTATTTATACACGTCGAATACTACTACTACTACTACTTTTAATACTACGCGTACCTACTGTTTACACCAAATCTTAACACATCTGTTATGATACTAATTATACCGTTTAATAACATATTAGGTTAGGTGTAATAGTATAATCGTATTTTTTTTAAACTACTAAATTTTATATTATAAATGTGTCATGATTATGATGATAATAATAACAATTTTGTGCCCCACTTCCGTACACGTGCCGCGACCATACACCATTTGCCAAGGAGGGAAGACAAATATTTATTATTATAATTATACGCGTGGCATTATTATAATAGAACGATGTTAACTAAAAGGTACCTTATTATTTTGATTGATGAGTGATGACGTTATTATCGAGGCTAATATTGTAAATATTACGAAATTTGGTAGTAAATCATATCCAGATCAACGTTTAAAAAATATTATTATTATTATGATCATCATTATTATTATTATGTGCACATGGTTCTGAAAGCTTGTCTCGGGCGATAGTCGGTGAAAAAAAATGCTCGAGATTCTATTGATTTAGTCAACAAAGTGACAGAATGCATCTAAATATAAAACTTAATGACGCGATGAACATTTCAACGTTTTAAATGTCAATGCATTTTACCAGACAATAATGCGATGATAATATAACATAAGGAATTCAGGCGTGATGTATGCGACGCGTTTTTCATCCGAGCGTGCTTGACACGATGCCAAAAAGTGCGTGCAATTTATTCTCCGGGACGAAAAGAATAGTTATTTTACACGAATTAAATTGAATTTAGAAAAAATGTGTACGATCGAGAGTGTCTATTCATAACTGCGTGCAACGGCAACATACAATGGCACGTGATGTGCGAGGCGGTGTTTTAAAATATAAGCCAACGCCAAAACAATAATAGCGATGCAGATGAAACGGATGTCTTGGGTTTTTTTCTCTTTAAAATTTTTAAATTGTTCTACAAATAAACGATTTGTGGCACTTACGGGATTGTCCGAATGACGGTCCGTGGTTCTGAATTACGGGTGCGGGAGGGGCTGCTCCTGCCATGAGACCCGCGAATGCAGGTGGCAGATACGCATTAATGATGTGATTGGCGGAGGGGGCCAATGCCGGTTGTTTGGGCGTCAGGTCCAGGGCGCAAGGAGGCGAGTATCTACTGTTGTTAAACGACATCGATGCGGGCGATCCGGCCCGAGAACCGTGGTGCCGCGAAGACGATGATGTAGGCCTGGGAGAGAAGGACTCATCCGAAGTGATTAGTGGCGGGCTGGCCATCATTACTCTGCCACCTGAAATCAAAAGGTTACGATATTAATAGGACTCCTATTTAATTGTTGGTGATCAGTAGATTCGCATGATAATAAACACAGCCAGTTTCAAAGGTTGTACTCAAACTAATTAGTGTTTTGTGTTTAGGGTTGCAGTTATTTGGCTAGACTTGGCCGATTAGGGACATTGGATGAAAATCGTATAGGCTTCCAAACATTTTCCAGTGCACCAATGTATCTTCAGCATTATCAGAGATCTCATATTAACAATAATTGTTGGTAAAATTATTTTTAAAAACGACTTGTTTTTCCAAATAAATATGAGTTCTGTGCAGTAGCTGTGTAATTTTATTCAAACTACAGTAAATTATAGAGTAAAAAAATAGTCAAAATAACAGTCTAAGTAATAAAATTGTTACTGGTTACTCACAGTAAGATTATTATAAGATTATCATATTATCGTAGTAACAAAACGGTGTTCATAAATCACAATACATAGTTAGTAATAGTTACGCCCGTAGTGTTACGTTAGTTATGTACATATTTTTACAAGGTCAATGGAATTGTTAATAAATTCTGACAAAATACAACGTTATGTGCAAGTGCAAGTTTAGCGCAAAGTTCTAACTACATGTAACTATTAATTATTATATTATGAACTATTTACTTTTGTTTGAAAGGTTTTCAGGTTGGTCTTGTAATCCGTCATTCATAGGAGGACTGTTGGTCCGTTCCTCTTCACCACTGTACTTAGTATCGACACTAAAGTCGTCAGTGTTGGCATCAATGTCGTGTTGACGTTCATCGACGTCAGCTGAGTCGATGTCCACAGCCATATCGTCAATGTACTCGGAGGATGTAGGATCATCTTTGTTGTTGCGTGTCATACTGGAATCGGAGAGAGGCGCAGGAGATGGAATAGACGATTCACGGGAGGAGCAGCCAGCGTTGGCAGGTTTGCTCAAGTTCTCGGGTTGCTCTTGTTCACGTTTGAACTGAAATAGTTGTAGTGATGATGAGTGATTATTTGCCAGGTGATGTTGCTGTTGATGCTTGTGATGGTGCTGGTGGATATTGTGTTGCTGTTGTTGTTGCTGTTGGTGATGAAGTTGTTGATGATGGTTTGTCATTAATAACTGTTCGGCGGGCTGCTGTTGCTGCTGCAACGGCATTTGAATGTTCGACGGGAGTGCTATGTCTGTTGATGACGACTGATGCTGTTGATGTTGACCATGGTGGCTGCCACTGGTTCGGAATAGATTGGTCAGAGCCGTCGGGAAAGATGAGGCGGACGATACCGCGGAAAACTGATGAGATAACGGAGACCTTGGAGCGACGGCACCAGTGGAGTTGGGTGGCATTTGCGAGCTACATCCGTTCTGATGGTGTGGACTCTGGTTCAAGTGCGGTGGCATCAGCGCCGGAAAGTCTCTGTCCAAGTGTTCGGGAACCGGCAACGGGTTCATTTTGACGTTGGGAAATTTCGACGTGTGTCTCTGGAAATGGACTTTGAGGTTGCCCTTGGTGGTAAACCGACTGCCGCAAACGTTGCACTTGAACGGACGTTCGCCCGTGTGCGATCTGATGTGTATCTGAAGGGCCGAGTCGCTACCGAACACCTTACCACAATAACGGCATCTGTGCTTGTAAAAGTTGTCACCTCGGCTCCCGCCACTGCCACCGGCGGATTTACCGTCGTATGGCGATAGAGAGCTGCCTTTGCCACCACTGCCCGAGCATTTCCGGAACGAAAGCTCATCCGCGAGATTGTTGGCCAACATGCCTTGGCTGGCCTTGTCCAACACTTCTTGGGCACGGCGCTGTAGCATTTCCAGTGAGTTGGGTTCGCTGGGCGACGGAGGCGGGTCCAAGTTAGTGATGATAGACGATGCGAACGCGGACGAAACGGAACACGACGGGATGGAATGATGATGCGTGACGATTGGTGAAGAAGTGTATGGCGTCAGCGAAAACGAAGTCGATGACGAGGTAGACGGCTGAGACTGCGACTGAAGCGGGGCCGTAGGTAGTGGCTGTGGTGCATTCTCAGCCGATACCAACGCCATGGGCTGGATGGTGTTCGGTTGGAGAGGCAGTTGCTGTTGTGGAGGTGGGGTTTGCACCGGTAATACGGACGCTTGCAAAGCTTGCAGTGGCGACGGAGCAGGGCGTTGCAGTTCGGGTAGCATTATGGCCATGATGGATGCTGGAGGGGGCGTCGGCGAGCGTGAGGTAGACGGCGACGGAGATCGGCTGAGCTGCAGAAGTGGTGTTTGCGTCGTACAGTCACCAGTAGATTGGTTCGTGGACATGGACATCGATACCGGCAATGGGATTGAAAGCGGTGTGACTGCCGGCAGCAACTGCTGTGGTGGAGGTGGAGGCAGCGGAGGAGATCGTCCGGCCTGGTGTTGGTGATGTGCAATATGTTGGAACATTTTGGCGTTGTTCCGCGTTAAAGCCAATATTGACATGGATAAATTGTGGGCGGGCGTTGGGTCTTTTAGAGCCTGCATGAGCGAGACACTGTCGTCATTGCTTTCAATGATCAGTGGCGGTGACACAGACAAGGTGTCGTCGATACTTCCGGTACCACCACGGCTTATCTGCAACTGTTGGCGGAGCTGTTGAATGAGGCTCAGCTGCATCATCTGCTGATGTTGCAACGTGTATAGCGACGAATTGACAAGGGCTAAATCTTGGAGCACGTTTGGGTTTACAACGGCACCGTTATTTGCCATTGCGGTGGCCGCGAACTGCGCAACGGCCACTTTAGTGTGTTGAAGGGCTTCGAGCGTCACGTGGCCGGCTGCAGCCTGTTGTTGCTGCTGCTGTTGGAGCGCTGGCACGTCAGCCGCCGCGGCAACTGCCTGCACGGCCGCCTGGTAAGCCGCAGCGTACGGGAAAACGGCTGGCACCAGCGGGGACGCATCGTCGGCTGCTATCATCCCGCCGCCCGCCACAATGTCTTCTGCGCCGACAGCGGAGTCTGAAAGACCGCCACCATAACGGCGGTTGTTGTTCTCGGCATCCTGTCGCTGTCTCCTCTGCTCTTCGTGCGCCTTATTGTTGTTATGGTTGTTGTTATTATTGTTGTTGTTGTTGATGCTGTTATTGTGACGGCCACTCCTCAAATCGTCTACGGCCATTGCCTGTAGACCGGCAGCGTTGTAATGGTGTCCGTGACGGTGATAGTCGTCCATCTCGTCCAAGTCGTCCAAGTCGTCTACAACGTGCTCGTCGTCGTCCGCTTCTTCGTCGTCTTCGATATCGTCCGTGTCGTCATGATCGTGCCGATGATCGAAATCGTCGGAAGTGGCTGCGTTGTTGGCGGAGCCGGTGCGGAGGACACAAGTCTTGTTGTGTTCCGAAAGCTCGGAGAAACTCAGAAATCCCATGGCACACTGCCTGCACGTATTTGACAACTTTCTAGGCAACTTTTCACCGTGCATCGGACCGTTCTCTTCATCATCTTCATCGTCTGAAGTCATTGATGTCGCACCTGCGTAACAAAACGAAACACCAACAATTAATATCGCTATCTTTCTGGCCTCGGAATATGAGATCCTAAGTTTTTTTTATTGATAGAGCGTTTTCTAATATTATTACACATGATGGGACTGAAACTATTGCCTAAATGGACGTGACTTTGCACAGACCACACGTATAATTACTGTAAAGACCACCTAGCCTCAATTTGCATTTGTACGCGAGTTATAATGGTCGATCACGTATAGGAACGGTTTGAGGTTGTTTTTTGTGTTGTTTTTTTTTGGGGGGGGGGGGGAGCGATCGCGCCAATGGTATAAGCTCGGCGATTTAGGGGAGTCTTTTGTTGACGATCGCGACGTGTGCGATGAACAAAATATAGGTACATTTAAAAATAAAAAACTGTAAACGAACCACGCACGACAATACACGATAGTAGATATACCGTAGAGACCGTCGCGTGTTGCTAAAGGAGAAAAAAGGAGAAGATAAAAAACGTGTGGTTAATTAAAAAAAAATAAAAACTTTTGTATGATTTAAACACTGCTCGACTCGCGTTTAATTTCCGTAAAAGTCTAGACGTCATTAATACCAATCTCGCACGCGCATTAATTGTATAATGTCACAATGATTAAAATTGTACACGACTTATGTAATATATATATATTTAATGCATATATACATAAACGAGTGAGCGTATTGTACCTACTGTATTATAGTAACCTTCATTAGATTTTTTTTGCCCCTTCTTCGTTCCCACTGCGGAGAGAGCGGACTACTGTATATAATATAATACACGGACGAGATAAAATATAACGCTTAAAATATCCCGTCGTGTACAATACAATTATCGTTGCTAATTTAGGCAACATGTATACACGTAAACTGCTCCGGGCGCGCGCGTCGTTTCCACGGTAGATAAAACTTTGAAAACACAGAAACCCTACGACGGATTACTTTTAATGGGATTACCCTGCCTCCCTGCCTGCCTGCCTGCCTGCCTGCCTGCCTGCCTGCCGACCGTCCGTCCGCGGCCGGTATGATGTCAAACAACGTAATTATCCGTGTCGTTCCATCCAAAGTCACTAGTCTTATCGGCCGTAAGTCGAGCAGCGTTGTATTCAGACGGTAAACAATAACAATAATTATTTTACGGGCTCGTTTAACATTATTATATTGTTATACGATTATAATATACGTAGACCCATTAACGGGCCGGCGAAAAATTACAACAATAATTATAATGTGCAGCATTGGAATAATTCAGTTTTAAGACAGAGGGGCTGCCAAATGTTTTTAGACGAGCAAAACCTATAATCACCACGGGTCCACAAAAAGTATGGTATAGAGGCAGAGGCAGCAGGTGCTTCATTCTTGTTTTTACACGTGATAAGAAATAAATGTACTAAAAGCTGATGTAGGTAAATACCATAATTATAGTACTCAATTTTATTCTACTCATAAACGTCTTCATCTATTCAATTATGTATATAACTATTATCGGTACGCCCCATGTTTTGTATTGATATGGAACACACCCACGAAAAAATATGTAATTTTAAAACTATCTACCAATACAGACTTTAAAACATATGTTTGCTTATTTTGTTGCATAAATAACCTTAATTTTGGCTGTGCTGGCGCTAGCATACAATTAAGACAGGCTAAAATGGTACGAGTAAAATAGGGCCGATAATTTACCTTGCGATACACCAAATCATGTGATAATATGTCAATTTATAATATTATGTGGTTATTGCATAATATGTGTGTGGAGTCGATTTTTGATTTGCACATTGCGAGTGGTACACTTAGTAATAATTAAAAAAAAGATTTCATATTATATAATATCATTATTCCACGTTAAAAATAATCCGAAATCACGAAGAAAATACCGTCAGGTTTTTTTTGCTTCCGACATTCTACCATTGAAATCGAATATATTGCAGTCGGCTTTTTGACGTGAAACGTTTTTATAGTTAATTAATATTCCTTAATTTTTTATCGCATCGGTCTGGGCGGTGCACACTAGCCGCCCGGCGGACGCCGTTCGCCCGTCGTCACACAAAACAATAATAATATTAAACTCTTCAGTGAAAATATAATTAAAATCGCAACCTAAATGAAGCCAGTTTGTTTTGTTTTTGTTTCTTGTACGCGATTAAGACGCACAATTTACAATTGTTACGGACGACTGTCGTAGTTACTATCGTTACGGCGAGCGTTTCAATATAATATTATTATTATTGACTACTGCTATAATTATTGTACCTATACTTATAAATTATTGTACGCGATGGTCACCGCCGCCGCCATTCGCATTGATCATTCCTCGTTAATTTTATTGTACTGAATATAAGCGCTAATCGTAAATCCGAGTAGAAAAATAATGGGGAAAAAACAGCGAGCACATTATCGGCGAGAGAGAGAGATTGCTATTAAAACGGTCGTTTGGTATATAGTAGTTGGTGTCTGTATAATAATATAATAATAGTGGTGGTGCAGCAGCGGCGGCCGAGTCTCCTCTCTCACCGACGCGGCTCACTGCAGCAGTTACTGAGTTCATATTTCGCATAAAATATGTAGGCAGTTCTTTAAAACAGAAATAGTAAAAAAAAAAAAAATAGTATAAAATAAAAAACTAATTTATTAATACCGCAGGAATGTCAATCGACGTTGGTCGACGTCAAATAATGAGACGTTTCCTGTAACGACGACGAGTTCCAGGAGTAGGTACGCGCCAATGTCCTATACCAATGCTGCAGCAGTAATTTGACGTATACATTTTTCGAAGAAGCATATTTGCCATCGTTGTCATCGGAGTCGCGGCAGTAACATGACATGACAATGAAAAAACTGGTTCGCGTCATACCACCAAAGACTAAAATCTATTAATTTTGTTTTTTAATCGCATTTTTCGAATGATCGTTTGAGTTTTTTATTCCGAGAAAAATTTTCATCGATATACATCATATATAAACACGACAAGAACCCTCGAAAAAAATTTTAAAAAACCGTACTGCATATTATACACGTACAGCATACCTATACTACCGACGATAATCTTCGTGATCTATATGCTCCATAATGGTTATAATATATATAACGATATACGTTCCCATCATTACTCGTGTCACTAGTTGTAGAGTATACGTCTATAACAATCTATACCTATATATAAATAGAATTCTAGAACTTTACGGCGATATACGGTAAATCTTAGTATGATGTGACGACATTTAATTTTTTTTTTTTAACTCTCAGATACGTGGTATGGACTATATTCATCTCGAAGTTTAATTTAGTCGACACATTCGGCAATAATTCTTCGTCTTGTGCACTGCAGCCACAGAGCGTCAAAATATTTAGGTATAAAATTACTTTAAGACACGTATTTGTACTCAATAGAAACACACAAATACTACACTGAAAAAATCGCAGTTTTTTAACTATAATTATTTATGTAATTCAATTTTTTTTAATGATTTAAATGGTAATATTGGTGTAACGTTTTAATGTCCAGAAAATGTTGAAGATTCTCTGCCCCTCTCGATCGAGACTAACGAAACAAGTGTGATATTTAGACGTCGATAATGAAATATAATCGTATGACGGCGGCACAAAAATTCAAAACGCCAACCCGAGCACACGCTCGTGTCATAGGCAGACATATTATTATTATTATTATTATTATTATTGGAGGTGTGTATATTAAACGAGAATCGTGAGGCCCATAATATTATGTATCTACTGCAGTTGTACGATAAACGCGTGTAATATTATAACGAACAATAATAATGTATGCATACGGTAAGCGCGGAGTGTGTATACATCATGATAATAATATAATATTATGGAGCATAATATTAAACGGCGTATACGCTATAGGACTTTCCACAATCGTTTTCTGTTAATTGGATTCTGCGACGATCTACGCCTTTAATATTACAATGTAACACAGGTGTGTGTGCGTGTAATACCAGGTACCCCCCCATTACCATGCGAAACCGAGAGCTGCGGACAAATACCCGTATTAATTACCGTCGTCGTCCTCGTCGTTGTCGTTCGGTTACGGTCACAGTTTTGTGTTTTTCCGATATAATAATAATAATAATAATAATAAAAATAATAATAAGTCGAAGAAGAATATAACGTCAAAAAAAAAAGAAAAAAAACAATACCTCCACAGCGGGTATATATCTGTGTAGGAAATAGTATATCGCGCGTTTTGGTGTGTGTCTGTGAAAATAAGGAGTGATGTACATAATATTATATTATCTACAGAGGTGTTGCACGACGGCGGCGGTACTCTCGCGGACCGGAAGTATTCGAATTAAAGCATAAAGCGTCCGCGTCTCGGATGAATAGATCCGCCGCCGCAGCCGCCCCCGCCCCCGCGGAAGGATCTAGTTTGTCAGTCACTGTCTCTCGTCGACGTCGCGCACAACACACGCACAAAAACGACGGCCGGCGACGGATGATGGCCAGCCATGCGTCAATAAATATGACTAACACCGACGGAGCTATCGGTCGGTTAGGCATATTATTATATGATAATATATATATATATATAACAGCCGGTGTTCGGGTCGCGAGCAATGTGTATAATAATAATAACGACAACGCAGGTACGTCTATAATAAAAATAATAATAATAATAATAACCGATACGCAAGAGTTTAACCTCACGAATTATTCCTACAAGCCGCCGGGGTGGGAGCGCTAACCCCGTTTTTATATTTTTTTACCATTAATATTATTATTCTGTTTCTTGTATATTATATCCCCCGACGCCACGCACGAATATACGTATATATTATTTCGTTTTTGTTTTTTCGTCTATGGTCGCCGGCCCCGCATATTTTACACTCGACGATTTGATTTGTTATGCACGGATTTTCGAACGAATTGAAAACCTTTCGGCGGCGGGACACTACGACTCGAACGCGTGATGGATGGATGAATGCAATAATAACACCCGTCGTCGCCGGGCGGGGAAATTATAAATCGACG